ATCGAAGAAATGACAAACAACAAGCCCTACTCTACACTGCCCAAAAAACTCGCTTTAAATATAAAAAAATATAAAATAAAAACTCTTTAAATATAAAAAAACGTACTTACAGTCAGTCAGAACAGCCGGCATTGTAGTCTACTCTACCAGGATCAGGAAACACCCATATTTGGGTTGAAGTGTTCTGGAACGGTGTTGTAAATACAACTTAACCACTGATTTCTAGTCGTGTCCATTTTTGGAAGGCCAAACAAAGTAGTTTCGCTTGAGACTTTAGTCTTTGCAACTTTACAGATCTTCTTTATGCACCAAGAGCTTGTAACACTCCAAAGAGAAAGGAAAATATCGCATCATATGACCCCTTTAATGTACTACTGAAGGGTGGTTTTTCTAACTAATTTATGATGTCTAAACCACAGAAAAAAAAATGTGTGGAAGCTGCTAAAATCATATAGGGAAGGATTTAGTAAGCAGGAAAGGGCGCAATATTTTGACAAAATAAAGTTAATAGGTGGTAATGATCCATACGAGCTGGCTCATTTGGCTCCTAGAATACAATAATAATAAATATAGCATATTTAGCAAATATACAGCCCAAAACACAACAATAATTTACCATTTTCACTAGGGCTGGATATATCGATTTTTCGATATATCGTTTTTTAAAATGTGGTCGATTCAATATCGGTCGGGCTCTACTTTATATGTGTGTAAAATGTGTTTTTTCTGGATTTTTTGTTCGGTATTCTGTCTCTATACATTAAAATAAACCTACCATAAAAATTACAGACCCTTCATTTCTTTGTATGTGGGCAAACTTACAAAATCAGCAGGGGATAAAATAAATATTTTCCCCACTGTAGGTATCTAAACGTAAAAATAGTAATAGCCTGATAAAACATCTGATGTTAACTTTTTATAATCATATCCAATTGGGCTCAACTACATTTTTTTTTTTTTTGTTGGTAGAAAAATTCTCAGACACCACTGCTTTGGCCCTTGGGGCCCAATATCGTCATCTTTAATGAGAAGTTTGACTGTTTAGGATTTTCTTTTACAAAGTACTATTGCTGTCCAGATGTAAATGTATAACTATTCCAAAAAGGTATTGTATATAGACCTCCACTGGGAAGGAAATATATAAACCAGACCTCTTGGATCTTTAGTGCTAAATCATTTGTAAATATTTAGCCTAGAAAGCATTCTAAAACATGTCAGCTCTGACACAACAGTAATAAACAAGCATAAACGGCATAACAGCCTAGCGTCAGAGGCAGTATTGATGCTTTTATTCTGTGCCAGTGGGTTTATTCTGTGTTCTGTGGTTATGCACAAGAACAATTTGAAGATTTGCTAAATTGTGCCAAGTGATTGCAATTCTTAGACAAATACATATATTTTCATTAAAATGTTGCAGAATGTTGGTTGGCCGACATCTTTAAATAGACGACTAATATTTATAATGTGTAAATTATCTTACATCACTCCAGCACACATCCAGCACTGGGCCTGTGTGCATCTGCCGGGCTTTAGGGACAGTCTGACCATTATCTTGAACCTCCCAGCAACGTACCTTAATATATGCAATACATGCAAATTTATCAGTTACAAAATGACAGAGAGGTTCTTTTGACACATCTTTCAGAGATATTTCATCAACTATAAATGAGATACAACAACATATTTCTAAGTGAAATTTACAGTCAAGGTTGTACAAATATAGAAATAGTGACAGAAACGCAAGTGAAAAATTATATTTAGGCTAAGAGAAATGAAATAGCGTTGTCAAAGGCTTACGTCATTGGCCCAAGAGCCTCCGATGAGAAAGTTCCCAGGCATCGTAGGGGGACTGAACGCCAAGCAACTTATGCTGTCATCGGGTGGCGATGTCACTTCAACATCCTGTTATCAACGACGCCTCAAATGAATTAACATGCACAAAAGCTTACTTGTATATCATATATGTGTATATACCTTCATTGGATTATGACTGTCTGTGGTGGTGCTGCCGAATACACCTGTTCCCCCGGACCCAAAACCCGTGTTCGTCCCGAATAAACTCATTTCAATCTGTTAAGAGCTGATCACAACAAGAATTAATCAGATCATATCAACGTCACAAACAAAATAACATTAACACGTGACAACTATGCCTTCACTAATTCAAATTATTTTAATGTTAATATTAACAAACCGCTACTATTCTCAAAGTGTCCAAAATTAATCTGGTAACGTTAGTCAGATTATGATGTGAAATATTAAATTCGACTTTACGTTTACATGCACACAACCACAAACGGTGAAATCGGGTTTTAGCAGCCTCAAGCAAATACAATTATATTATAGGCCCGGGCAGCCTCTACATTAAATACAATGATCTATCAAAATATCGTAATCAACTAAACTCACAAACTGCCGTAGAGATATTTGATTATTCCCATAAAACCGGTTCCCGCTTCTGAAACGATACATACACACACACACACACACACACCACTGCTATAGGCACTTCCGTCGCTCATTATTCTTGTTAGTGTTATGGCGGATTGCAACCATGATTTATCAGGTGCATACCGCCACCTACTGTATCGGAGTATGCAGCATGGATTTATATCTCAATGAATGCACTTTACATTATCAAAAAATATATATAATAATAATAATAAAATAATAATAATAATTAAAAAATGTTTAATAAATAAATATTATAGCACTACTATCTAAATCCTATAATATACCCCTGTATCCTTCAGATATTCCACAACAGCATCCTGTGCCTTCCGTCGCTCAGTTGAGGGCGTGCTTTGATGACGTCATCGATTAGTTTCCAAATACGACTTTTTATTTCAGTTTATTTTTTTTTTATTTATTTTTTTTTATGAACATTACAACATTTCTGTCGAGAACAAAGAACATACAAAACATATAGCTATATTGATATTGGGATATTCTATGAAAGTCAAAAAAGATGACATTAAAAAAATAAAATAAACAAATAAATAAATAATGGGCTGCAGAGTTCCATTTCTGCATTTCTGCAAAGAATGTGTCTTTAGAGTGCAGCCTACAATTACAAAAAATGTTTCAAAAGGTGTGCTATTGCTTCCACTGTGAGACTGTCTGGGTTGCTGTTATGGATTAGCCTTGAAAATATCTCACCATAAGGTAGTCCTTATTCTATTTTCTAATGGCATTTCTATGCTCTGAGACCCTGTCCTTCAAGCACTGCTTTGTTCTACCAATCTAAAAGCCACCACACCATAATAAGACTTAATAATATTTGCAAGAGCATATTAATTAATGCCTTTCAAATGCAGGTAAAGCCAGATGGTTTTTTTCTTCCTCGAATGGTTACTTTGTACTAATTTAGGGACATGTTCTTCTAAAATAAATTTCATGTTGCACCCCCACTATAACATTTTGCTACTATATACTGATTAATAAACATAATCATTTTCCCATAAACCAAGAATTAAAGTGACATGACATGTGGCGACCCATACTCAGAGCTCTGCATTTATCCCATCCAAAGTGCACACACACACAGAGCAGTGGGCAGCCATTTCTGCTGCGGCACCCGGGGAGCAGTTGGGGGTTTGGTGCCTTGCTTAAGGGCACCTCAGTTGTGGTATTGAAGGTAGGAGAGAGCACTTTACATTCACTCCCCACCTACAATCCCTGCCAGTACGAGACTCAAACCCACAACCTTTGGGATACGAGTCCAACTCTCTAACCGTTAGGCCACAACTTCCCCTAAATCTGCATTATTTGGGTACTTCCATTAATTTTCCATGCACTTAATTGTATAATAAATTCCACAGGAGAATGCGCTTCCAAACATCTACTATTCAACAAGTTCATTTAGAATATGACTACTGTTATAGAGAATTGTTAAACCCCGCAAAGAGTCCAATATACCCACTGAAATCCAGGAGTCAAATCTGAAGTTCAATCGGTTGACAGAGAGTTTACTGAATACATAGTTCTCCACACTTCCAAAGTCTGGAGAAAATATGAGGATCCAGTCTAAAATTAATTTAGAATACAATAACACTAGTACTTGTAGTCATTGCGTTAGCAGCGCAGAGGTCGTGGGTTCAATTCCCAGGGAACACACATACTGATAAAAAATGTATAGCCTGAATGCACTGTAAGTCGCTTTGGATAAAAGCGTCTGCTAAATGTATACATGTATTTATTTATACATTTATGTAAGTACTATATACATACATTTTCCCCTCTATTGATGCTCCATGGACTGCTCCCGAGGGCCAAAAACCACAATGTTGTGGCCGGCCTCATTCAAGCAAAGCAATACCAGGTATTCCTAGTCAACCAGGTATTCAAGACAACCGCTGCAACATCAGAAGTCCAAGATCTCTGCATATACTGGCCTATCATCCAGGAGCAGCAACTTTCTACAAGGGAGCTAAAGCCGGATGTGGACACTGGACAGCCAAATCTTCTACAGGGGCTGGATGTTTGGGTTGGAGGATCGCATGGGCGTGACTCTTCTGGAGACAAACTTGTGACACTGTCACATAAGACACATGTTTTAAGCTGCTTAATATATTATAATGATTGTATATTACAGTTTTAATAGGTTTACATGTTGTCCTAGTCATTTTAATTCATGTGTATGTCTTTAAATGAGCCTGGGTCTGCCTGTGATGTTGTTGTTCACATGACAGGAAACAGGAAGTAAATAAGCATAAAGGAGGCAATATGGCAAACAAAATGGCTGTCACAAACTGATGATCACCAACTGTGAAGTTACTTTTAAGGAATTACCTTTCCAGCAAGCCTCATCACTTTATTGGACTATCACTTCTGTGGACGTTGTGTATACACTAGTGGTGGGCAGAGTGAGGCTTCGTGAAACACTGAAACAGTCGAAGCAAATGTGCCGAGGCTTTGAAACAATTCGAAACCTGTATCTACGGTAACTCCTAGTGATCATTGTCAAGTATTGCTCTGAAACAGTATTGACAACGAATCAGTTAAGCGAATTGACGAATTATAACGTATTTGTGGTGTTTATTACTCTGTTGGGGGAGTGGTTAGTGTTCTCGACTGGCATGTCAGAGCTTGTCACCTTAGGTTTGAATCCTGGGTGAAGTATACATGTCATTATAATAAGAATTTAAAAGTTATGTTTTTATTGTTCTGTTGTAACATCTCTCTGACAACTGAATGAACTCTTTGTGAATAAATGTGTTATTTTGGTCATGAAAAATGAACATTAATAAAAGACATCAAGCCAAATTTCTGACATTTTTTTTTACATATATTTTTATTTAAAAATATTAATTGTTCTGCTGCGTTAACTCCACTTTTATACTTTGTGAGAGTTAGGTTGAGACAGATGTGCTATTGTGTGGTTTATTCCCGACCCTGTCAATTAAACGCAGATTCGGCAGGTATGCCCGTCTCGAAACACTTGTGAAACGTAGTCACGTGACATGGGTGTTTCGAATCACACTTCGGAGCAGTGTTTCGAAACAGCTGCACTTTGGGATCTCGACACGGGCTGCATCCGAAAACTTAGGCCGCTGACTTGTTGCCTCGCTGCCCTATCAGGCAATGACTTGCAGGCAGCGTTTGCGCACAAAGGCACCTCACGAAACTGATTTCGGACAGACTTCTGAGGCAGCGTAACGGTTTAATGATCTACAGCAAAATATAGAGAGCTTTGTTGATAACTAAGTGAATATTGAATTACTGCAATAGTAATTTCTCGCTAGAAATTACATCAAAAGTGAAAAACATTGATAAAAAACGTACATTTACACACAAACTGACCACCGACCGATCTTTATTTTTGAGCTTAAATGTCACAGAATGGAACGCACAGGATTGTGGGATATCAAAGGCAGCGAAGGATACATCTATTCTGCCTTCAAAAATCGGCCAGATGAAGGTATCTCAGGAGACAGGAACTGACGCTATCATTGAATTCGGACGTGCCTTGATGCCTTCCTACCTTGGAATGCGTCCTCCGAAGGCAGCATTTTTCAGTTTTCGGATGCAGCCCGTGTCGAAACGTCAGTTTCGCGTCAGCCATCCCTAGTATACACTGGTGGACACATTCACATTGGGACTTTCAGCATGCTAGGACTCTTAAGGACTGTTTTATGGTATGGAACCAATGGACTCTATCAGGGCTGGACTGGGACAAAAAATCGTCCTGGCATTTTTTGGTCCAGGCGGCCCACCACCACTATATATATATATATATATATATATATATACATATACATATATGATATACACTACCAGTCAAAAGTTTTTGAACAGTAAGATCTTTAATGTTTTTTAAAGAAGTCTCTTCTGCTCACCAAGCCTGCATTTATTTGATCCAAAATACAGCAAAAGCAGTAATATTGTGAAATATTTTCACTATTTAAAATATTTGTTTTCTATTTGAATATATTTTAAAATGTAATTTATTCCTGTGATTTCAAAGCTGAATTGTTAGCATCATTACTCCAGTCTTCAGTGTCACATGATCCTTCAGAAATCATTCTAATATGCTGATTTGCTGTTCAAAAAAACATTTTTTTTCAACCGCACCAGTTGCACCCCCCTAAAGACGGCCCTGGTTAGGTGCCTGCCTCCGCTGCGAGTCCCTATCAAGCACTTTACAGATTCAACTACTCTCTTCTTCTCCTCCTGCCTGGCTCTTTGGCCCGCATCACTCACCGCAGAGCAAGCCTGCTCCTGATAAGCCTTTTGACTGGTTGTGTCACAGTCAGAGCTGTAAAAACGGTTATGCTCACCAAGTGAATGAATCGCGTTTGTGCCGAACTCTTATTACAAAGCAAAAACAAACACTCTTCTTCGATCCATGAACGTTTCTCTCAGTTAATGTGCGCGATGTCATCTCACAGTCTGAAACGTCTGTCATAGCAAATCAACACATGCTGTTGTGAATAATTAAGCGAAGCGTCTTCTCATAGGATAAGAACACCCAGTTTCATTAATAATTTAATAGTCTAAAATAATCTAAGCTTAAAATTAACCAGTTTTCTCCAACAGTTAAAATTATCGGATGCTAACATTGTCTTCTATGATGTGCAACACAAACACCTCTGCTAAAATCTCAGAAAAAGTAGTCTGGGGTTTCATGACCCTTTAAGGCGGGGCCCTAGGCGACCGCCTGTTGGACGGGCCGGCACTGTCTATATACCTTCCTACACATGTCAAAGGAACTGTATCATTATTTCTTATTGCTAAAAATGAATGAAGAACAAGAACGCCTTGATTTCTGTAATTTAATAGAGGAGCTTAAAGAGAAGAAAAAAGCTCTTTCTTTCTTTCTTTCTTTCTTCTTATAAAAAAGTTTCCACATACAAAACTTTCAGGCATCATGAAACATACTCAGTCAAGTAGACTACTACTACACTTGTACAAGTTTAGTTAGATGTTTCATTATATGAAAATAAAAATGCAGAAGTACTTCTGTAGTTAGAGACGGTGTCGCTTACG